ATATTCAGAGTTGAGTTATTACGTCCACTTTCTCCATCAATTTAAACCAGCACGAAACTGGTGTCACATGGTGGTGAATTTATAAAGCTGTTTTTGAGCAGATTTCAGAAACAGTCATATCAATCCCAGAAGCCTCCAGGGCAGCCATATAGGCTGGGATGCTCAAAGGAATCCAACTCCATTGACTTTCAGCCCTGTACCCCTGGGGATTAGACTGGTTGGACACTGATCCAAGGCCTAGGGCAAACCCCATTAGATGTGTTGATCTGTGTTAGGAACAGCTGGGGTTTGCCCTAGTGCTGTCCTAGCCCCTTTCTGTGGCAATGGCCTCTGGGTAGCTCCCCCAAAGTCTCTAGCAAAGACCCCAGAAGCAGTGGATTCTGGCAGATTTCAAAAGGCTGCCTTGTGGGACTAATGGAACTGCCTTGGCTGGTCCTTGCCCATGAACACCCTAGAACAGGTCAGACTGACACAGGTCCACACTGCCATGGGGTTAGTTTTGCTGAAGATAAGTCTAATCCCAGTAGGGTGACCAGATGTCCCAATTTTATAGGGACAGTCCCGATATTTGGGGCTTTTTCTTATATAGGCGCCTATTACCCCCCACCCCGATCCTGATTTTTCACACTTGCTGTCTGGTCATCCTAAATCCCAGTGGCATGTGGCATGGAGCTGCGCTGTCTGGAGCCCTTGTGGGTGTGGACTCAAGGTGCTCGGGGTCCCACACAGTGTTCAGCCCAGTGACCTCCTCTAGTGCAGGCCAGCAGCATCTGAGTTTAACCCCTCATGAAGCAACACAGGAATTCACAATCCCAGTGGGAAACCTCATCTCTCTGCTGGGCCTAGGACCTGTATCGAGGAGTCTTTTCCTCCTATTGTCTGCACTTCATCACTGCTCAGTGCTGCTGAAAGGGGCAGAGTAGCTAGTGGTTGGGGCACTGAACTGGGCCTTGGAAAACCAGGTTTTTATATCTAGCTCTGCCACTGATCTGCTGAGTCACCTTGGACAAGTCACTGCCCCTCACTGTGCCTCAGTTTCCCCTCCCACCCTTTGTCTGTCTTGTCCAGTTAGACTGTAAATGGCTCGGGGCAGGGATTGTCCCTCACTGGGTTTTGAGCAGGGCCCCCCCCACAATCGAGGTCAGATTTCATCTGGGGTCTGTAGGGGATGCAAATAACAATAAACACTGTGATACAACCAGTAATACCAGCCACAGCTTGTAAATCCCCTATCAGCTTTCATGCAATGAAGGCTACACACAGCTGAATGACACAGTTACACCATTAAGCTGTAATTAACATCCAGAGTTATTACCCATTAGACTGGACAGCAACTCGGTACCTTGTACTCCTGGGTAGCTTCCTGTATGGGAACCACAGTGTGAGCGCGGTGAGCCCGGGACTCTCTGCAGATCACACAGATGGGGGTTTGATCCTCTTCACAGAACAGTTTCAGAGCCTCCTGGTGTTCCCCACACACCCCGTCCCGTCCTGCTCCCTTTGCTGCCTGTAAACTCAGCCGTTTGGCGATTTCTACGACATTTGCCAGCTGCCTGTTGGGCCTGAGGTTTCTCTGTTGCACAGTTTCTCTGCACTGAGGGCAGGAGGCGGCTGTGTCGGATCCCTCCCAGCACTGGCTGATGCAGGCTCGGCAGAAATTGTGCCCACACTCCAGAGTGACAGGTTCTGTGAAATACTGCAGACAGATGGGACATGAAGCTTCTTCCTGGAGACTTTCCACGGGGTTCTCTGCAGCCATGGCTCTCTCTGGGCAGGGTAACAGGGTTAGTTTCAATTTCCTGAGTTCACACTATGCCCCGCCTGCAGCAATAAGGGGGTGTTTCCTTGCCTGAAAATGACTCATGCTGTTTGCTGAGCAGGAAAAACCCAACCAATTTCAGCCCTGGAGGCTTTGGTAAGAAATGTACCACTAGGGCTCCGGTCCTGCAATCAGCCCCTGTGCTGGTGGTGGAGGGTCACTGAGGCAGCCCCCTGTGAGGATAAGCCTGGAGGAGCAGGAGCTGTGTGTCTAAGGAGTGATAGTCAGGCTTGGCAGAATTTTTTGTATAATCTAATTTTGACAGATAATGTTTATTTTAAGCAATTTTTATATTTATTGATTTAAACTTTCACAGTTGCACAACAATCTTGGTTTTAAGCATTTCATTCCAATTTAAATTTTCACAGTTGTGGGAAATGATTGGGGGGGGAATCAGACAATATTTTGGTCAGACCAGAACTGCACCGCTACCTCGATATAACGCCACCAGATATAAAACAAATTTGGATATAATGCGGTTAATAACAGTTAAAATTGTCTGTAAGCAGGTAAATCTCCTCCCTCCCCCAGCGGCACCCCCACAGTAACCCAGTGCCTCCCCCACCACCACAGGGACCGAGGCTGAAAGTCCAGCTGATGGCAGCTC